GCCCCGGAGGGTAGAAGGCTTGATTGGCCCAAACAGTTGGCGCTTGAATATATTGAGATTTTTTGAGTTTTGGCTTCAAACTTTGATCGGAGTTATTGTGACCTTCAAATGCGTTTTTGTAGAAGTTGCTATTTTCGAACGATTTCCTACATCTTTATGTTTACTTTGCGCAAATGCGCGAAAAATGTTTATCAGTCGGACAGTCTATAATCGAAATCGTTAGAAAGGCGAACCATAGTCTATTTTGGCGAATCATGCAGAATTGGCTAAACAAGAATGTATGGTAGCTTTTGCGTACTGAAGCTCGCTATAAGGGAGGCCATTGGTTGAGTTCTAAGTGCAAACGGCTAGATCGTAATAAAAACTTAACTTTTAAGCTTGTCTTATCTTGTTATCTTTCACTTCAAAAACAGTTAGTGCTTTCCAAATCTAACGGAGGAAATATTAACAACGACAACTAATCATAAATATAGTGCCCTGTATCCATATGGATGAAAAGATCATTGACTAAGCCAAGACGGATGATTTAAGGAATCGGATATTGCTACAAAGGAACATGAAATGTCGTTCCATGACCGCAAGGTTCAAATTAATTGATTTTTGCGTCTTCAAAAGGAAGCAGGCAGTAGAGTCGCATGCTAATTACAAAGCTCTTTGCCTGCGTCGGGAGACAAAGATTAGTCTGCTTTTTGCTGTCCAAATGGGAAAGATTTCTGACCCAATCGCTACGATTCGAAAATGCATGATAGTTGTATGAGTTTTTCAAACGAGAGTTTACGGTTATGCAGGTTCTTTGATGCACTGCTTATGCTTAAGTAAATGAGTTTTTCATTGATGGAACGAACACTGAACGAATTACTGAACTGAAACTTTCAAATAAACAACTTTTGAATATTTCATAAAGTAAAAATTGCGAGAATTTAGAGTTCCAAATGAACAAATTTCAAGTGATAATGGAGATCAAAGATTGCCTTTGAACGTTCGAAAATTCAAAAATTGAGGGGTGAAATACTGGACAGATATACGGATCAAATGTCCGAATGTTTAGAAATTCGGATAGTGCACTCGAATCAATTATCCGAATGTTTATCCGAATGCATGTGAAGGTTTACATATCAACACATAAACTGTTTTCATCGATTTTTTCATTCTTCCCGGGCCGAAAATTTCCGTACAGCGGTTAACCGGGACTGTACGGCTTCGAGCACCAAGGTGCGAGGCGGCTGAAGAAGTGGGTTCCCGACGCGATATAGGCTATTTATAGGGGTAGTGAGCGCGCACCTTCTTCAGACTTACTCTTTAAACTTTTATAAACTTCTGGCTAAAACCAATGTGCTGTGCCAAAAAAGAACATGGATTTTGATTGGGAAATTCATGAGCCGAATGAGACCGCCTTTAGTGCCTCGGGACAATCGCTCGCCATTGGTGTTCAGGGTACGGCGCAGGCAATTAGGTTTTACAAGACCTGTACATGCCATATATCCTGATCCTAATCGGATCGAAACTAAAGTGGCGAGTCCGTGCGGCGGGAATTTTGCGTCACGTCTAGCTTGTCTGCTTTCTCTTCTTCGCTCTCGTTACAGTGCGCATATGCATCGTAAACCCCTAGCGCTGCGAGGGCGCAAACTTACGCAACGGCTTGACCTGCTTTTAACTGAGAACTTAGAGTGGAACGTCATCACTTCATCTCTTGACAAAATCAATGTAATTAGAACAGTTAAGTGTTTATGTGTGTATCTCCACATTGTGCTCGTGGTTTGTGCAGAACTAATAAATGGTTGTAAATCTTCTTTTAGATCTGTCCACACAGGGTAAATACCACAAAAAATATTCTGAGTATTTCGTGCCACAAGCGCTAAACAGCCTCTTCGCATACGATTTGACTTACGAGTTTGTGCCTCAACTTTCCATGCAATGCTCGGAAACATGACATCGTTGATTTGGGGAGGCAAAATACTTTCTATTTTAACAGGATTGGTGGTTGGTGGGTGAGGATCACATTCTTGCGGCCGCCTCGCCTTGTAAGGAGCTCCGTTTTTCCCACTCTCGTGATGAGAAAGTAATTAGAGAGCACCCTCACGAAAGAGGTGCAGAAAAAAGCGACCCCGCCTTCTAGCCGTCAATCCTGTTGAATCAGAGAGTATACATGTGTTGAAGAGATCTCGCGTTTGTAAATGTCTCAAACATGTGCCATCTAACGCGAACTAAAGAACTCAGCAGTTCGTTTGACTGAATTTGAATAGCTATTGAGATAACATTAAGATTAAATCCACTGACTTTGTGAATGATACTGTACCAAACAGGTTTTTATGGTGGATGTTTATTGCCTAAGGTTTGGTATCGTCTTCTTCAGATACATAAGAAGGGATTGCAGTTTCAAACTTGTCAGTCTACACAATCAAACACCTCTTCTAACTTGCGGCGTCCAGACCTTGTTTCAGTACAATGCATTGGGATACAATCCGAAGTGGTAGACACCAACCACCGTGAAGTCAGTAGTCCGCGCCAAAAGTCGGTAGTCCGCATTTCCGCACATGGAAACTAAATCCACTAGTACTAATCGTTTGAGAAGCACTTCTAATGGTTCAGTTTTTTGGAACTCCTTTTTTCACTAATACAGGTTTTTAGAATTTACTGAATTTTTTCAAGTTCTATTGACAAATCCTTCTTTCGAATCCTACGCAAAACCTTGACTCTCAAAAGTTCGATCTTTCAGTTTCGTTATCCGTACTGAAGCAATACACCCTCTCCTTTTTCTTGCTTATTCGATATTGAAGAATCACAAAAAGCACGATGTCCTCGCACAACGACCTTGGATGCTTTGATCGAAATAGCCAATGCTATTTACTATTTCGATCAAAGTATCCAAGGTATATTATGAATACATCATGTTTATATGTCGCGGCAACAAACAAGGTGTGCATCATGAAGTAAACTTTTCTTGAACTCTTCAAGGTTGTTAAGAGTTGGACGGGAATTAGCCCATTTGTAGCCTCCGCTCATGCAATATGATATTCGTTGTCAATCTTTTTTATAAGTTGGTGGAACTAGATGGAGCAGGTCTCAGCCAGCAAAGTTTGGAAATATAATGAAAATGAAGCATTTTGTAAGCGTTTTGTAAGTTTTAGCCAAACCTGTTCAGAGTTCCTCATAATGCTTGATCAAACTCTGCAAAAAGGATTTAAGGCTAAAAACAAAGGAAACACTTTTAGTTGAAGCAAAGCTTGGACTGATTTCTGTAAAGCTTTTTGCGAGCAAAAACATTGGGTATTTTCTAAGTAATTTGAATTGTAGCGCGATGGCCGAGTGGTTAAGGCGTTGGACTTAAGTTCCAATGGACGTAAGTCCTCGTGGGTTCGAACCCCACTCGCGCTAAACCTTTTGCAAACATGAAACACCTGATGATATCATCCTTTGCATAGCAGGCGGATTGAATAGGCTCAATTTTAGTCAACATAGTCAAGAGTTTGATGCCGTAGTACTATGTTGACAAATACCGGCATGCCCGTTGACGATTCTTTGTGTACAAAAGCACACATTTTTGTACATCTATATGTGAGTCGATCCACTTCTTTGCTAGCATACATTTGCTCTCTGATTTTTGTTTTGAACAAAAAAAAAGACACTGGGTAAGGAAGCAGACAAAAAAATCGTCAGGGGCTGGGAGGAGGTATGATCTGAGCTTGTCCCCATGTAGCAAACACTATGCAGGGAAGATAGAAAACAAAGAAGTTAGAAATGCACCGGGAAGTCTAAATGACATTTGGCACGTGACACATGTTCAGGCATTCATAAGCACTGATGATGATCGCTATTTTCCATTGGCTCCAAAACGTTCCTGCTGCTTTCTGTCTTTCCCCTTTAGAACACTGACAAACGTGATATTCGGTGGCTATGCTATGTCTTCCAAGACCTAAATCACCTTCTTATTCGCCTTCTTTTTCGCCGTGTTCCTCGCAAACTCCAAAATATGGCTCCCTTTCGAAAAAATGAATATGCACTCCATGACTGACTATTCAAAAATACTTATCAAAGCGAAAATACTAATTCGTAAACGTTTTTATTTCCTTTTGATAAATCTCATTAGCATCTGTAGTGTCGTGAACGTTTTAAAGGCTAAATCATAGCAATGATGGGACGGATAAAGTTCCATTGTGTATATCAACATAATGAGCAAAGAAGCCAGCTTATACATAAATAAAATACTAATGTCTGAAGACAGTGTGTACAAGCTAGCGCCACTTTGTTTCTTGCCATTCATTACAATCATGCAAAGTCAACATCTCTCACACAGCATGTTATTTCTGTCGGACCCTCCTGTTAGGTCCCAGCGCGAAAGATTGTGAGCCGCTGCCGTTGCCGTCACTCTCTATATTCAGTACTTGACACAGGTTCGAAGATATTTTCGACCGCTCATGACTCAATTGCATTGTCGCTTGCAGTAGCACCCCCCCCTCCCTTAATAAGTTTGCAGGTGAAAGCCTCATGTAAACAGACTTGCATGAATCCTGAAATCACGCAAATCGAGGTAATGTTAATAACTAACTTAGCGTGGTGCACCACAATCTTGAAAAGTGTGCGAGGTATGCCTCTCTCTCATATATCATTAACTCTTACAGAGATAGGTATTCTTGAGAGCTCCGAATGGGTTAATCGCAAAACAGTTTTTTAACATGTAACAGCCCTCAGAACTGAAGTAGTCCAATCCTCATGAAATGTGCTCGTCGTTAAATACGCAAAACTTCGGTCATGCAGTGGGATGTGACATAGTGGCAAGAGGTAGGACGTGGGTTCGATTCCAGTCTTCGCAAGCATTTTTGCATTTCTATCACTACATCGAGCTTTTATAGAGGAGTAGGTACTTGGTGTCATTCCATCTCGCCAACGAATTTGGATGTTGCGAGCTGATTCTGCAAAGTAAAAGACAAAAAGAATATAAATAGCTTCAAAGCTTTCTTACATGGAGAGGTGCGGAAATCTTAAAAGATTCAGAAGAGAGGATGACTATTGAAAAAGCTGAGAATGACACTCTTTGGACTACAGAGGACGACAAAGGAGGTTCGAAGAGAAGGTGCCAGATTTGAAACGTGGAAATGCAGAAGTGTTGTATAAGTGATTTTTGCATTTTTTCAATTAAGATTAACAGGTAGAAAAGGCAATACAATCTTACCGCTCGTTGGACCAAGGCTATCGGTCGCTCTCCTGCATGACGAAAAGATTCCGGTTTATCATCAATTAGTATTATCTGGCAAATTTGAGGCAAATCGAACGAGGTGAGGCTTAAGATGGAAAATAATTTCTAGGTGGATCATTCTGAACCATTGTTAGATCAATCCGTGCGACTCCGTGCTTTTGCGGAAAATTACATGAAGTATTTCTTTCGAAATTTCAAGGAGGTATCGTAATACACGATCTAAGATACGCCAGCCTGCGCTCATGAACAGAAACGAGTTCCTCGTGGAGAATTTAAAAACAGTTTTTGGTTAAGAAGTTCAACGAAAATTGTGTAATTGTATCTGAAGGAATAAGCACTTGCGTGCTTGCGTCTAGAAGGAACTTTTGGGTGCTTCGGAAATTGCAAGGAGAGTACAAGCTTTTGTGCTGGCCATTTGTGTTGGAAGAGAAAAAAAAATCAAACCCATTGTGAATTTACAGTCAATAGCTGGCTTTCTGAACTGATGTCTGCAACATAAACAGCGAAGGAGATGTATACGGCGCCTACTCTAGCTTTGAGAGGGGTGAAAGTGGAGCAAGTCATGCAATCAAAATCGGCAACTTAACATTTCACGGAAATGCCGTTAACTTATGCAGATGCTCACCTTGGAAAAATGCTGTTTGTTGTACTTCAGATTTACATCTCGTTTCTCTGATCTGATGTTCGCACTTTCAGACGTTAATTATTGAAATCCGCTCCAACACAACGCACATAATGAATAAAGAGTTACTACTCGATGGAATATGGTGTGTGAGTCCGCAGAGTCACCAGCATCAACATTGCTCGTAGTAAACTCATGGACCGTCTTCAAAAATCATTCAGTCATGTCTGCTACACCACTTATTGAGCAGATTAAAATAATGAACATCCCAGCTGGCGCCAGGTCACAAATACAGCCTCTAGGCGTGCACTGCCTTATGCCATTCGTGCATATACAAACACTCCGGCTCGTACATAGCAAGAAATAGTTTACTTTTAGACTGATTCATATCCTATCATTCATATCCTATCTTTAGTCTATTCGCAATCTTGTGCTCTCAGAACCTGAATTTTTCAAATATTCATGGTATGCATCCGGTTATATAAATGAACACCCAACACCATTTGTAACTCATAAAACACTGCTTCCTTTTTGATTTTGTGAAGGCATGCCAGACAAAAAATTGTAAGAAGACAACTTTGTTTAAAACTCCTCACTCTGCAGTGATCGTGAGCGGCTGCGTCTCGCACTGCTCTTGTCAATAGTCTTAGTTTCAGCCATTTTTCTTGTCATAATTTTGTCCTTGCATTCTTCTCTATTCTGCTCTCTAACGTTTACTCTCTTGCGGCTGTGAATTTATCCAGTTCTTTTTCTATTTCTGCCCTTTTCGTGCTTTTGTGAGTCACTATCTGGTCCATTTTCGGCTAATCGATTAAGATCATGGCGGTCACTAGGTCCTCTCAGGCTTACTCTTGCGCTTCTAGCAAAAAAGAGAGTGACCGTCGTAGGTTAGACGATGTCTCGATGGGTGCCATTGAGGGACATGAAGTTGATTTTGCTTCATTGCCTGTCACTGACCTCATCGAAGCAATTTTAGCAAAAAATAAAGACCCCGTTGTAGCTAAAATGGTTTTAGCTTTGAAAGAAAAGATTCCACAGGTTGTGGAATCAGAGAAAAGGGGTGTAGCCTAGTTATAGCCGGTTTACCTGAATCTTCGCCTACCTTACCCCTGTTGGAGAGGAAAGCCGAGTTGGAGCGCGGTGTGGCAAGGGTATCCGATCAATTACAGGTCGACTGCTGGCCGACTGAAATCTTCAGGATGGACCGATTGACGGAGGATCGACCGAGGCTGATAAAAGTCGTGTTTCCCTCGCGCGCTTATTGGATGCAGGCATTAGCTAATGCTCATAGACTTCGGTATTCCGATTTGTCCAGCGTGTACGTGCGGCGCAGCATGACATCTGGGGAGCGGGCCTTGGATTACGATCTTCGTCAACAGGCACGTGCACGTAATCAAGGTAAGGCTAGTAAAGAATGGGTCGTTTTTAGAGGTGAACTAAGGCGAACCTCTGAACTACCCAGGAGGTCAAGGCAGGTAAACTACTAAATACGCGAGGTCAAAATGCACTCAGATATTTTCTTTTCAATTTAAGAAGTCTTGTGAATAAGCTTTATTTACTTCATGCCTTCATATGGTTTCACTCTCCTGACACATCTTTATTATAGAAACGTGGCTTAACATGAAAATTTCTAGTGCTAAAGTTCTATTTGTTCTACCATACTCAATGTCGCTGTGATCGATCGGGCAGTAGAGGGGGTGGCGTGTGCTGCATAATTTAGGATAATTTGCTCGTTGAACGTGTCATGTTTCGTAACAGAAACATTTCTGACCTTCTATGCTTAAACATTTTGTCGCCTTTTCCAAATCATTCTTCAAGAATCATTCTGGTTTATCGCCCGCCTTCCTCTACTGCGAAGTATGACGAAGAATTGGCTGACACTATCTATGACTTGAGTTCATCGCCGTTGAGCACGATCATTTTTGGTGATTTCAATATTGATTTTGTCGCAACTCATAAAACCGCCCATGACGGAAATTTTTTGTCGTTTTTGCTGCATTGTGCACCTTTGCAAAATGTTGCGAACGCAACAAGAAATCATTCTGTTTTTGATTTGATTTTTACGAGCATAGAAACGGTCAGCAAAGTTGATATTCTCCCTCCTTTTGGTAGTTTAGATCACAATGTCATCTCATTTCGAGTCTGTTTGGATCTTTGGACGTCTGTGATGTAATGTTTCTCCCTTATCCTGACTTTGCAAATGCTGACTATACCGGCATTAGCAATGCCCTTTCTTGTATCGATAGGATGCAAGTATTTGATAATTATATGTCCGTTGATGATCTCTATGGACGCTTCTGTAGAATCATCTACGGAATCTTCGCGGACTTTGTCCTTTCGGCTTGACAAACGTCAATCGCATGGCTATCCAAAACATATATGCAACCTACTGCAGCAAAAGTCCCGTCTTTTCGCAAATCTAACTGATCCGCTTGTTGATGATACATATAGAAAAGTATGCTTAGACTTTAAGCTTCATATTAAAAAGTATCTGGCCAATAGGGAAAGACATTTTGCTAAGGCTGGTGTGAAAAAACTCTATGCTTACATTAGACTTTGCAGCAAAGGACAACAAAAACTTCCGTCCCTTTTAGATAATGACAACAAACTTCTCAACACTGATAAGAAAAAGCTGTTGCTTTGGCAGAGTTTTTTGCTGGGTTCTTCACACATGGTGACGATAGGGTTGGGAATAATGTCAACGCAATTTCTCCAATCACTTCATATCCACGTAATCTTTCCAGCTGTAGCGATATTCAAATACATCCAGAACTTTTGCTTAAAGTACTGAAAAGGCTAAGAGCAACGGTTTCTGTCACATATGATGGAATTCCTCGATATTCTATAGAAAGTGTGCCCGTTCTCTTTGCTCTATGACATTTATTTTCAATGCATCCCTATCAATGGGGCAGGTTTTTAAGCTATGGAAAAATGCGTTGATAACTGCAATCCCAACAAATCCCACTTGTAATTCTTTATCCAACTTTCGTCCCATAAGCATCACTCCGCCTTGTGGTAGGATTCTTGAAAAATTTGTCAAATAAGCTAGGAGATTGGGCACACAAAAATCATGTGATACCTTTAGAACAGTATGGATGCCTACCTGGAGGATCAACCACTGCCCTACTTTCTGACTCACTTTTTGATTGGAGTACTGCAAATAATCAAGACAAATCAATTGATATCATTTATTTTGATTTATCTAAAGCCTTTGATAGAGTCAACCACTGCAAACTCTTATTCAAACTTGAAAAAAATCGGAGTACGTAGCAGACTACTGGCATGGATTGACTCGTATCTCAGTGAACGCAGAATGACTGTACGAGTCGGAAATGACTATTCGGACGAGTATGTTTGTGATAGTGGTGTTCCTCAGGGTGGGATTCTTTCACCGCTTCTTTTTCTAGTCTGCACCGCTGATCTACCTGCCTTCGTTAAAACACATCCAAATATCCGCATACAAACTTTTGCAGATGACTTGAAAATTTACATCGCATATGCAAAGAATGAACAACTGAAGCCCATGAAGCCCTCTCTTCGTCTATCGAAAAGATGGTATCATGGTCGAGGGAACGGGATTTGCCTCTAAATCTTTCAAAATGTACTGTGATGCACTTGGGCGATGCTCCTTATAGGCCATATTACTGTGGGGATGCTGTTCTTGAGCGTCGGGAAGTAGTAAGAGATTTAGGGGTAATGATTGATAGTTCACTTAAGTTTTCCAGCCATTACGAATCAGTCATCAATAAATCATTGGCATCGTTGTTCATGCTCCTCAGAAACATGCATAGCAATGATCCTGCTTTATTGGTGCGATTCCATAGAACCTATGTTTTACCTCATCTTGATTACGCTTCACCCGTTTGGAATCCGTTCCTCAAAAAGAATGCGATTAAACTTGAGAGAGTACAAAAAGTACTCGAATAGTTTTCTACAGATGTTTTCCCAGTACCGATTACCCACGATGTTTACCGTCATACAGTGAATGACTTGCCACTTTGAAACTACGTAGTCTAAAATATAGGCGCGTTGTAAATGATTTAGTTTTTTGTTTCCGAATCTTGCATCTGGATACTAAATTAAAAACGAGTAAGCACTGGGTTTTCAGACCGTGTGGCAAACGTACGGGTGGGTTTAATCTACATCATTGTGAATTAGGTAAAAAAATGTTTTTGGAAACTAATTCATTTTTTTGTCGCACTTCAAGATGGCTGAGTCTCTTACCAAAAGAAATTGTTTGCAGTGAGAATACTTTTGTTTTTCGTAAAAAATTAGCTTTCATAGATGTGTTAAGAACGTTACATATCCCTGATGTTTAGGAGTTCAATGCTTGGTCTATCTAACCTTTCAACTGCACATCTAACACTCCCCGCTTCTTGCCAGATCGAGTATAGATTGATCATTTTCTGCCTTTTTTGTGTTACTAACCATGATTATGCTTTCACTAACTGTAACCAACCTGTCATGCCAACGGGGTGTTCTTTTTATATTTACTTTTTACAGTTGCTTGTCACATTGAGTTCTAGCCCCAGACCTTAGACAGTTGACCGTTTTTCCTTGGAAGTAGTTCATCTATAGTTAACACAATCTTGCTTCCTCTAAATTTGAGCTTTATCGGGGACAAGCCAGCTAGCTTACCGGAGGGCTCGCTGGCACCCAAAACCGGGTCAACAGAAAATTTTTTAAAGTAAGTAAGATTCAGAATCTTTCTTTTAGATTATTTCCTACAATTTCGCAGCCTTCTGCGAAGTACGTGTGTACGTCTTAGGGTCTAGGGCTCTTCAGCTTGTTTGTAATTATACTCGTATCTTATGTAGCTCGCTTGAGTGTTGGTTGGTTTTTCAAATTTGTTCTGAATTCTTTGTTCTTATTTTTTAGGTGCACCATGAGTGCATTAAAAATAAACATTCGGTGTGCCTACTGTGAAGATCTTGTTTCCAGCGTTTTATTGTACTTTTCATAAGCACTGCCATATACAGTATTGACTATGAAAACGTATAACTATTTTCGTGCAGTAAATCCTGTTTCTCATCGATACGGCTGTCCTGGAGATGTGATGGGAATATCACAAAATTGCGGAGGCAAATCGAATACACAACAGCTGCTCTGCCAAGGAAAAGGTCAAAAGTCGAAGTGGCCAAACCAAACAAGCTGCATACCATTCGATGCAGTATGAAACGCTGACTTCGAATCTGCCTTTCTTATCTGCCTACCGCTTCTCTGGATGAAGCTACAAGCAGTTTTATTGTGGAAAAATCGTACATAAAAACTGCAAAATTGAGCACATTGTTGCAATTTCAGCTCAGCTTTAGGCTTTGAAAATTTCAAGTAAGTCAGCTGCATATTTTGGCCCAGCTCTAAGCCGAGCGTGGCTCTGTACGGCCAAATTTTCACTTTCACGGATAATTACTTAGCAAAATATTGGCTTTTAATGGCTATAGCTTTGTCCAGAAAAGCGATAAGCATATAAAGAAGACAGATTTAGAGTTAGCGCTTCATGCTGCATCTAACGGTATGCGGCTCGTCTGGATTAGCCACTTCGATATCTGACCATTCCCTTGTGAGAACTACCAAATGCCACTTTGCCAAACTGCTACTCAACTCACTAGTGCGCAGTCCTACGTATTCAAGAACGAGAGCGTGATTCCAGGAGGATCAAATTTTCATATTTCGGCTCAAGACCGCTGACAGACATGGAATGCTGTTTCGTAATTAGGCTGCCTGGAGTTAGTCCGATATAGCTTTGTTTGAAAAGGCCACCTCGGCCAAATGCCGTCCCATGTGAATTTTAAGAAATATGAAGAGGTCATATTCTTCAGTACCTCAGATAGCTGAAGCAAATGTTCAAATCAATCTCAATCTGTTTTGACTTTCGCTATAGTCCAAAGAAGCACCTGATGTGGGCGTCCCGGTTGGCATATAGCAAGTGTTTTTACATGACTGTGTTCTAAAGCAGAGCCGTTAACAGGTGGGGAGAATCAGTTTTTTGCTTTGAGTTCTAAGGAAAAGTTAACAGTTTTCAATCAAAGTCATCTTAGTAGTGGAAGTTTTTCAGCAGGAGAATGCCTGTAGAGATTTCTTCATGTTATTTTGAAAGCTAACAATATTTTTTGCAGGATGACTTTGACAGCAGGACGAGGCTTTGAGTAAGAGTAAAAGCTCTTTTCGAAGAAGAAAGTATGATGGCGAAAAGTTATGCTAAAAAGCGTCTGGAAAGCGCTTATCACTTTTGCACCAACCTAATAGTATAGGTTCACTTATAACATGCGAAGAAGGGCTTGCAACGGGCAGCTCAAGGTATGACTAATGGAAGCAAAATTGAAATTTTGTGTTTACTGACAAGACGGTAAAGCGTTGTCGGCATTGTAAGCATAAAAACTCTCGAGACTTTCCTAAATTTTGAGACAGAACAGACTGGCTGATCAGTTTCTATCAAAGCAAAATTTGCTCAAACATGACGCCCTACGGTCGTTGATATCATGAATCCATTCATCTTATAGTAATGTGACGGCGGCCGCCTTTATTCGCCTACATGTAGCAGACTAATTGGAATGAACAAAATAGGCTCCAGCTTGGCTTCTGTGAATAGAGGCGTAACTTCAATATCTTGATTTTTTGCTGTTCCTCTCCAAGAAGGTAACGGAAAACAATTTCGATTTTAAAATACTTATCTAATGCTTATGTATTCTGTAGTTTCCAATGTACAATTTTTTGATAGCTCACTTGTTGCAAGATCCCGCTTGCGAGCATATCAAATAACACGGTAGAGATTTGCCCAAACCTATTTTCTGCAGACATGGAGATTTTGTACATAGTAAGCACTGCTCTGCACTTGATCACCTATTTCTTTGGTATTTCTTTCAATATACTCCTCATATTTGCTGTCATCAAAAAAACTCCCTCAAATATGTCCACGTATTCAGTACTTATTCTCAACTTTGCTATAACAGACCTTCTCTCTTGTGTTGCTTCCATGATGGTTCAGCAAAGGTCTGACTCACTGCGATAAACCTCTTCGTCGACTCTGAAAACGTGGAAGTTTCAGAATCATCGCGGGCGGCGTTGGTCTTTTCTACATTTCATATGGGCCATGTCGGTACTTGGGACCGGTAGCGTGCTTTATCGCGTCAGTGCTGTCTAAGAGCAATCTAACTTTGTATATAGAAGACCAAGCAAACTTTGCACTATTCAGGTACAGCTTCATGTTACATTGCTACAGTCACTGGTTATGGAGTTTATTGTATTCCTTTTGGTATCGCTATTACATTATTAACAATGGACAGCCAAGCAGATGCAAAGTTCAATGCATGCTATTCCTCATCTATATCCCATCATTTTTACAATTTGTAAGTGACTTGGGATTTTAATTCAATAAACACATGCTCAAGTGTTCCGCGGCATTCGAAATGAATGTGCGAGCGACCACCTAAATATTTTCAATAATTCTATAATTTTGCAATTTTATCAAACCATATTTTTCAAGCTGGACCGAACCACAACTTTGAAGTTAGATTTAATTTTCAAAAAACGTTGTGAAGCATGAAACGGACAGGTAATGTCCCCAGCGCTTTTGGAATAATTATACTGCTAGACGAAGAAACTCTAAGTGAGCAAACCACAACAGTGTGACGCAATACAATTGTCTACTATATATAGCATATCTGCTCATTGTTCCAGGTTTTCTTCTGCTTTACACTTGATCGCGAGTCTTTGGTGAAACAAACGATTGTCTCAAGTGTTCAATTACGATATTCAAAATGAATGTGCGAGCGGCCATCTGTATATCTTTACCTGGCCGGTATTGGGCACTATACTGCATATGACTCTTCCCGTCACTCCTGTCTACACTGCCATTTTGTTATTCAGGCGAGGCATAGCAGCGAAATTGCAAACTGAAACTTCAGAACAGACACGCCGTTTGCATCAACAGTTACTCAAGGTGGTCAACGAACGCTCTCTTAATAAAAACATTATTAGCCAGTTGTCTAGGCTATCACCTACCAAGCGTGCATTCCTATTTTCTTCTGGTTCGCTGTGCTGGCTTATGCATTAGGACAACTCAACGTATTGCATCATCCCATCGTCGAGTATTCCGTATTTATATTTTTTGGCTTCGTTCCAGCATTTAGCCCATTGTCATCATTCTATTGCATTCGACCGTATCGAATGTGGCTGATGAGGAGGGTTACGCTAGTATCTGAGTCAGTTAGATGGAGCAGTTATCATTAACGATAAGAGTGCACTGTCAATGAATGTATCACGGTTGACTAGACATAGTTACAGTAATTCAAACGCAAAAAAAGATTTTTTTCAAACAAAGGACCGCAAATGTATTTGAAAAAAAATCGTCTAGAAGGTTTGTACAATTATGCAACAATTATATCCCTCCAAACCGTAAAGACATTTACGGATTCTGTGACGAGCAACTTGGCTTTCAAAAAGATTTTGTCAGTGTGGTCAATGAAAAACTTGTTATTTCAAATTATAGTGTTACAATCTCACAAGAATCCCAAGAAGTTTCCGAAAAAACTAGACTAGCTTTTGTGTGTAATCGCCGTTGAATGATAGATGCGGTGGGGAGCACGATCCACTCCCGGTGTGAAGAGATCGTTAACTTCGGATGCAAAAAAGTCAAAGGGATAACTGGGCCTTGAGGTGAGTGCTGACTTATGCTTACATGCCAAGTGATCCTCGAGTGTGCAAAGAGGAAAAATAAGTGGAACAAAGGTGTGATATGAGAAATTTTTCAATGCTTTGGTTTCGAAAGTTTATCGAGCAGAGATTCTTTGATGCACGAAAGTTTTATGTCTGAACAATACCATTCGAAAGCTGGAACATGAAGAATTGACGTAGGCCGCCTCTTTTTTTTCAGCTACTATGTGACTTCACGTATAAAAATCTCTATCCAGCTAATTTTATGCAACTTTGCGCTCCATTTCTAAAAGGAAGAGGGAAACTATAAAAAGGAGACGGTCTACGTTTACTGGCAAAGTCTTGCTCTGTAACACAGTAAACAATTAGGCTTCTTCATTCTTTGGCTAGAAAAATCCTCGCAAGAACACGCATGCTTTAAGATTGAATGTCATGATCTCTGAGTAGAGGAGCGCTAGAAAAAAGGGGCATTCTACGTCGGATCCGTTTCTTGAGCTTTCTGATGGTACATGGCTTGTTAGACAAAACTCGTAACTCTTCAAAATGGTGTGGAGATCTTTTCTACTAGCCTCCTCCACCCCTTTCCTTAATGGCTTGGCTTTCATGAGTCCTTGGAGCAAGGCTTCTCTGAAGCAGGAAAGTCTTCTGCACCAACATTTTATACAACATTCGATGACCAACAACGCGTGAAATCGACATAGACCGTCTTTTTTTTTAACTGTTCTGTCAAGCGAGATATGAGGAATTTAACTAGTCACAATATTAGCTAATTTTCATGGATTATAGTGCTTTATTCTTTGAACAGGGTAGTTAATTTTCGAGGCTTCGCATGTGATTGGAAAGCTTTAGAATTGAGGAATCTAAATGCTACCTTATTTTTATCATGTTTTTCCAGAAGAAGATAAAATTCGATTTTTTCAGTGAACATACAGACTTTTTACTTTTAAATAAATCTTTCCTGCGACAATAGATACTTCTTGAACAATGTTGCTTATTCAAAGAATCGGGCAAAATCCAAATTTCTTAGGTTTATTTCGCTAACAAACCTGAACCAGTTCGAGTGAGACAAAAAGTATCAGGCTTGAGTTTTTCTCACAAAGCTGTAAAAGCAGTCATGTCATGCACCGACTGAGAAGAAGCTGCAGCTGGTAGCTCTGAACGAAATGTGCACCACTTAACACAGGTGTTTTATGCTGCCGTTATACCTTTATCCTAGTCTGCCTCAGCCTTAGGTGATGGGGTCATTCAGATGCCGGCCCAAAAGTGAAGAGGGGCAAAGAAATTGCTCTACCTATAGCACTTATGCGCTGAATTATAGCGATGCAAATTGAAGACGCAAGCTTCTTCACTCACGAATGGTTCAATGTATGTTCATTCTTAGATAAAATTCGTCAACTTGCACACTATATCTGAAACTGTGTATATGTGTGCATGTGTTTGTATGCATATATGTGTGTTGTGTACGTGTGTAAAGTGTGTATGGAGATTTTATTCGAAGCGGTAGCTGTACAGTAGCTCTACACGCTGGAAGTTCCTACCGCAAGTATACAGTAATGAAGGGTGATATGTATCGCTGCATACTAAATCTAAGTTGAGGTAGCTATACAAAACAGTATCTAAAGGTAAGTGAAGGAAGTTAAGAGAAATGTTAACAGACAAACACTGGGAACTCTTTGGACACCCTGTACAATGGAAAGCTTGGGTATTCATGCCAAAGCGCGCTCTCACTATGTTCGCGATCTCTTCGATGGAAAGTGAGCTTTTACATACCGAGCATAAAACTTGACGATGCATGATATACTAGAATGAGTTCGTAAAGAATTGGTTTAGCTTTAGGTTTGGTTATACTGCGTGACAAAAGCGTACGCTATATGCTGTCAAAAGATGGGCCAGACTGCGCGGCGTACGCAGCGTACGCGCAATATCTTTATGCACGTACGCGTACGCTGCGCTTGAGGCACTTCTGTGATACAGATGATGCACAATTCGTCTATTCTGAAGCGAGATACGGCCAATCGACGCAGATCGCGGTGCACTCCGGTGGGGTGCGGCGTAGTCCACTGCTCTCTGGCACACTGCAGTGCACTCCGGCCACATGAGCGACAACACATATTAGTGTGGCACTGGGAGCATGTCAGCGTACGCAGCGCACGTTGCGCAGTTTGAGAGATTTGTACAGTCTGCTCTAATCGGGATCAGGCCGAACCGTCGGCGTAAATCTGCACGCTCGCAGCGCTAGCGGTCTGCGCTGCATGTGCGCGCTGCCGGAGAGAGCAAAAAGATTGAAGAGAGGGCAGAGAAGCAGGCCGTGGGCATGACCGCGAAACCCTAGCGACGCGATCTCCCGCCATGCCAATTTTAGCGTGGTTGGGATTGGAGCAGACTGTACTGATAGTCAGAGAACTCGTGTGCATTCTTGTTCTTTAATTAATGAGTACATTTTGTGCAGGCATGCTTTCCTATAAATGACTTATGACTCTAAGCTCGCCAACTGAGCCAGTTATGCACCCTTCTCTTCACCAATGCTGATGTGAAGTTGGTGGTACGGATATGGTAGAGCCAAAATCAGCTACAGTCATGACAGCGTAAGTTTCTAATCTAATTTGTTTTCTACTTTTTGAGTCACTTTCCTATTCTAGAATTTGGAAGGATTTAGTTATGAATGAAAGTTCTGTGAGACTAGAATCCAGTCTTTTGTGCACGCAGAAACATCGGTGCCAATGGTCAGGTAAAGGGCTTTGCAACTTATAAACTGCAGCATTGATCTCAAAGTAAAAGAAACACAAGCCTTTTCTTGGAAGAGCCTCATATTAGGTCTGATGCTGTACTTCTAACGAAGTTCAAAATTTTCAGTAAGTAAATTAAGAGGTGATTTTTCATTATTGAAGCGAATGACAACGAGCTTCGGATTGTCGATCACAGTTAGAATTGTGCATAAGAACAAATGAGAAGGAAAACCTTTACAAATGCTGTTGTCCAGAATTTTTTGTAAAGTAAGTCTCCAATTTCTTAGCCGACCAAATCAATGAAAGCTTGCATATCGGCGGTATGCAGTCAGAAAAGCAATGCTGCAAATCTTCCATACAAATCACCCTTGTTCAACAGCATGAGCTAATCTTAACCGAAATCTTATGGAGCTTCACAAAAGGTTTGACGTCGAGAAACTCGACCATTACAGAAGTGCCAAAAAGAGGAAAGAAACTTTTATGAAATTGACTTGTCAGCAAAAGCTATAATAGACTTATTGAAAGACTATGACATTTTCGGAAAGCTAATTCGCCGAAGCAGCCATGTTATCAACCAAAAAGAACCTTTATCCGAGTAAAAACAGGACTGATCTACCTGCAGAAAAGTCAGAAGTAACAACTTTAGAAGATTTTGCATTCATTTAAAATTGAACAGCAATTAACTTTATTGTTCACTTTCGCCCTTTTCTGGACCGCTCAGCAAATTGACTTGTTTATTGACAACGAAGGCTTTAGGATGTGGTACAATTTGAATAAAATTGATTGAAGATTTTCAAATCTGCTTGGATCATAAAAATTAAGGAGGAAACGACTCACCTTTTTGTCTTAGGGTTAAATTTTCTGTCAAGCAGTGATGCAGGCGTCATTCAATCATTTAGCGTACTTCCGAATGTATTCCATGTAAAACACAGCAGAGAAATTTCTGAGATTTGTGAGATCTCTGCCTATCATAGGATACAGTGGCCACCGAGGGGGGAGACGGAGGATGGGGGGGGGGCTTTCCCCGTTACATGAGTTGAGAACCTGTGATGTACAAGTAACCTGTTTATACTTGAAAATAAGTGAATTAATTTTTAAAACTTTTTGAATTTAGATTAGCTTTGTAAAGAAACTTCTTTCGAGGGCTTGGCTATCGCTACGCCTCATTTTTTCTTCAAAAAATCCGAGTTAAGGCCAACAAAAATTTGAGAAGCTTTCCAAAAAATTTTTCGGAGTTTCAGCCTTCAATACAAAAAAATGTCCTCCCTCCGCCCAAGCGGAAATCCTGGAAAGGTTACTGGTAAGAGTATTTACAAACACAGGTATAGCTCAACGAGCAGTGCAGATGCACATGACCACTGTTGTTCTGGAGAATTTAAAAAAAAAGAATACGAATTTGTTATTGAGCAAGAGAGGAACGACTGCAGCGCTTAATTCTGAAACTACTCTCCGGCTTCGAAGTTTATCTTTTTACAGCAGAACATCGTAATTAGAAAACTCGCTACTAAATCGCATGGGATTCACTCAGGTTAATTGAACGGCGCCTTCAAGCTACATAGCCTGTACTTATTTACGTGCTCATAGATGTTCCACGAACACAACCGAGAACAAATTTCGGTTCACACCAGCCCAAATCCGCAAAATACGATGTCAAGTTTTTGAAAATCAGTTTCGCTTGATAGTTTATTGAGTATACAATGATCTAAGCAACTAGTCAAAAACTTAAACACTTTTGGAACTCTTTCCGCGTTGATATTCTTTACACTATAGGCTTGATTGTAATTTGTTCTCGATCTTCTCCTTATTCGGAAAATGATTCACTCACCAGCATTGAATCAAATTATCGCGGCAGCTTAACACTCTAAATAGATGCTGTCTTTGGAAATTTGATCTCTACTTCTAAGCATGGAGGTCTTTCTTGCTTGTTTGTTTTCAGTTGTTCAAGATAATGAAAAGATCTTTGTTTGAAGCGTTCCCGACAGAGATGAATGCCCTATAATACTGGCACTTTGAAGTTGAATCAGAAATTGCCTCTGAATTTTTGTTTGTTACAAGTGCGATTCAGCATTGTTTGACTGGCAAAATAACTCTGAGGCTTAGTCTAATGCACAAATCGTTTGCGCCTGAACAAATTGCTAATCTGAAATCTTATGCCTTTCAATGGTTGAAACAAGGAAACAATGAACAACATGTCTTAGTAGACGCGAGGATATGTTTTAATACCAAGTGTTTACAATTCGCTTGGTCCTCCTCAATGTTCGTTTTTTTTTCCTTTTTACGTTTTTCAAATTTATTAGCGGTTTTACCTCGATCTCTTTTTCCTGCATTTTCCCGCGTTATAGCTGCAAACTGCTATTTCATGACTGGAATGACTTCAGTCTTCATAATCCCCTCTCACACAAGAGCTAGATCAATGCAAAAAGGGTGGTTGTTGAAATATTCTTACCTGAAGGGAGCATATGTAGATATAAAATGAAGTGAGAGTTGTTTTGCCGGGTTTTGCTTAACAGCACGATCTGAAGGTACATACTTATTTACTATGTCACCTCTTTCTAACTACCTGGCTAGTCAAATTCGCTGCATTCAGCTGTCACTGTGTATAATGCGTTATATATACTTATCTCATACATGCTCACAAAATAGGTATGTACCTTCACATCGTACTGTTAAGACATCAACCCCAATGTGCAACATATGGTGGGTCACGAATGACTGGCACGTGGGATAACGTGACCCACCTGGTAGGTCACTGCTTGCTTTTCATTGAAATGGCTTCTATTCCAGGGAAGACTCACTCCTGAAATTTTCGTTCGCGCTAAATCTAGAAATAAATTTAATGTTTCTCAGCAACCTCTTAGAGGTATTGTACAGGGTGTCCCAAAAGTCTTGCTGCCTAGTATTTTTTATGATAAAAACAGAACGGAACAACATAGGGATATAAAATTTGGTGTACATACTATTCAAAAAGTAGCAAATACATCACAGCATTCAAATTTCGTGGTAGCATCTTTCCTTGATAACGGAAGCCTTCAAACTGTTAGCGATTACCACTGCCGAGGCACGCATCATCATCAAATTGTCCCAATTTTTCATGAAAATAAATCCTATCGCTTAGAAAATATGCTGTATGATAGAGCAAGCTTTCAGCTACATCATACCATGGTTAGAAAAATTTGTGAGTTTTATGGTTAAAATTACGGGAATTTGAATGCAGGCACGTGTAGATCTCATGGTGGAGTTTTGGACACATTTGCGGAAAATGAAAACAGAAAATCGGCTACAATGTGTTTCAAAACCAAGTTCGTCATCCGTGTTGCATTAGATTCCCATCTAGAAAACATGCGAAAAGGGTATTACTCCAAATTCAGTGACTGCTGCAATTCTACAGATTTGAAACTAATTTCAAAGACGCAGTTGCAGTGGCACGCATTGAAAATCCAGGTATTTCCTTGCCTCTCTTGACTATATAGATTTTTAAATGCAGCTATTATAGTGATAGTAGTGCAAAGCCTCCTCTATATTGTGGATATAAATTTGCACCGCGGTGTGTTGAATTTTTGCAGTAGCGGAATATTTCAAACTTTTAGGAATTAGCTTTTTGCGTTTTGAGGTAGAAATGGTTTGATAATTTTATTTTTTTCAGTCAAACATGAAGATCATTATTTACCCCCATAGATGTAGTTTACGAAGAATGATTGGAGGATTCTGTGGTATAAATTTGAGATCATAATCACCAGTGATTGTTGAGTTAAAGCAATGCAAAATTAGGCTACTACTGTTAAAACAGTCGATTCTAATTCGAAAACTTTAACTGTCTGCAAAATGCTTTTTCTCACGAGGTGCGCAAGTCATTATAAAATGCGTGCGTCGTCAACGTTTTAATCAATAGAGATTGAGTGATCGTATAAGATAGTAATAACCAAAAGAATTTGCAATCTTTGCGGTAACAATTATACTGCCCCTCCGACAAGGGATCGCAGTTCGCAGATGCTTTACAAATAACTTGTGTTTTCTACAATACATCTTCCAACTTATAGAAAACACTGATGTGCTAAGCTACAATATTTATGATTAGCCGCTACTCCTGAACTAGAGAAAAGTGTTACTTGCAGCAAAAAAGGTTTCATAACTTTCAATTTTCTTACAAAATTGTCCGCAATATTATGGCGAATTTGAAATATAGCTTGCTTAAAGAATGCCTCTTTTTCAATGAAATCTTCCTAAGAACTTTTCTTATCGTTTTTATCCATGTCTTTTTTATGGAATAGTAGTTTGAAGCTTTTTCTATTACATAGCAACTGTTCAGAATTCTCTATCAGCAGTAAGGAGTAGTTATGCCCCATCATAACTGAAATTCCCGAAGCACAATTTTGCGACTTTCTAAGCTGCGTTTTCATGCTGTGAATGTAGAGGACAGTAACTCGGTGTTCGGTTATTACACTCAAATTTTCTCTATTTAGTGAATAGCGAAAAATTGTAACCTGCCAGTTTGAAAGTCTCTGCTTGAGTGATCGAAATTTCCTCACATCTGCGCACAATGAGAAAGGTATTCATTGCGTTTCCTTCATACCGAGATAATTCTACTCAAACGAAATTTACATTTCGATCCTTTTTGAAGTGGCTCTTCCCAAAGATATCAGACAGTGGGCAAAAATCCCACTATATGTAGATCTCGCGAAAGCGGACGGAATTATTTATTAGCTATTCTATCAGTTTCAATGCTCACTAGGTGTTTTGCTCGCTTACCAGCAGAACAGCTACCTACCAAAAAACTGCTGCTTTTTTGACTCCTTAAAGCAAAACTATTATGCCAACTATTCACAATAAGTGAATGTTCGCAAAGATGTGTGAGACCTAGATCAGCTCATTTGAGCATAGATACGAAATTTAAGAAGATTGTGAGACTTACACCAGCTTATTTGAGCATATTTAGATACTACATTTGGAGAACGACCTGCCTTCCCATTAAAAGCTAGTTTCGGTAACACTCTATCAAAGCGTCTTACATTACACCTGTAAAAATCGTACTTGCTTTAGGTATCTAATTCAAGAAATTTGTGTAGACTCGTACTTACAACTAACTTTGTTGACATTTTTCTTTTGTTCCTGATGGCGGCGATTGCCTCATCAACTTCAGAAGCTTGAATCACTGGAGCAACAGGCGGAAGCTACTTAACAACCTTCACCTTATCCATTTATCTGTTTTCTGTGCAAACGTCTGCGACCTATCAATCATTTTGCTGCACATAGTTAAATTGTATTTTTCATCTGAAACGTTAGGTACAATGCCGTGCAAGAATAACTACTATCTGTTTATGAGTCCATAAATGTTCAAAGTACTTGGAAAATCTATATATATATATATATATATATATATATATATATATATATATATAAAACTCAAAAATTGTCAGGGAGAGTATGTGCGTTATAGAAACTCGCGCCGCTCAACCGATTCATCTGAAACTTTGCACACTTATGTTTTCGACCCCTGCGCAGATGATAGGCTACTTTTCGCGGCGATTCAAGGGGTCCTTCTATCGATTTATTGATTTGTTTACGTTTTTCTAAGGAATTGAAAGCTTATCATGCTTAATCGAGCATTTTCCCATTTCATGTAAAGGAGGGCGGTGAAGCTCATTTTTACCTCGGGATCGCGAGGATGCGGTATCGAAGCGGATGTCCCGGGGTAAGTCATCCAATATAAGAGGGGGGGGGGGAGAGGGGGAGCTCGCAGTGCAGATGAAAATGGCCCGGGCTGGACCGGGAAAGCCAACTAGTCAAAAATAAAATCAAGATGTAACCGTCATTCGATGTTTGCTGTAGTTCTATTATGTGCTAGGTAGTGCAGAAAAGGAAGGATTTTTCTTTTCTCGCGATGAAATCTCAGATCGAAAGGTTTCATTCGTGCGTTGATAGCAGTGCTTTCGTTGATTCACATGCTAAGCTCTTTTCGAAACGAATGGTGATAATAGGATTCGTATTTCGCAGTAACTAACATGATTTTGTTTGCTAATGTTTGCTTGATTATGTTCATGTTCTCGGATATTATTTTAGGGCAAGTATTTCAAGAATAGTTTTCAAGGTTTCATAGGGCTCCATATGCGGTAAAATAATTTTATTTGAAGGAGTGGGAGGTGGCACTTTGAGAATACGGCCGCTAGCTACACCTGGGTAGGCTTCGTGTGAAAATTACTGCAAGGCACAAACTGCAAATTCAAAATCAGCTGCTTTCGCCCATTTGCGGAGTTTTCGCTTCCTGCTGCTCTTGGCATCATTGAGTTCTTGCTGGCACAAAACCTTCTTGAAAGTTCCGACCGTAATCCTGCAGTAATAAGAATGATCACTGCCTGTATTATACCACATGTTTAGTCCTACAAACAGTGCGAAGCTGAAAGATAAGTAAAGCATGGAGAATCAAACATTTTTACATATTCTGGCAGATTATGTATAACCAGCTAGCAATCCCGGCTCCACTCGACCCTTCAATAATTATTCGTAACTAGCATGCCCACTCACTTCCTTGTGCTAACTCCCACCTCCGTAGCTCAAACTCTGCAGAAAGTCGATAAAACCGATATCGATCAATGGGAAAAGTTGCCTACAACACCTGATCCGCCCCGGAGTGTATGTGTGCCATTTTGGTCCGGATCGGTCAAGTAGAATTTTCTATTTGGAACATACGCACAGGCAGACATACAGACATACAGACAAACAGACTTTCAGCTTTATATATAAGATGAGTCAGACTTGTTTTCAAATTTTGTGGTTCTTTTTTGTTTAATCTTTGCAAAATTATGTGCTTACTCGCGGTTTCCTTTGTTGTCGAATTTAGTGGATCTGTAATTAGTTTCAAACTTCAGCTACTTCTTCTTAACAACTATGGAGGCTCTTTCCATTACAAGCACTACTATACATTCAACTATTGGCATTTTTGGCATCTTCGCCAAAGTTCTTCTTGCCTTTGCTGTAGTAAGAAAGACCCCCGCAAATATGACTACATACTCCAATGATCTTCTTTCTTCCCTTGTTTCTGTGACAGTCCAACAAAGGTACGTTTTGCTTTATCATGTGTCTCAATGCTTAGTAAGTTTCCGCTAATTTTAGGATTATTCCGGAAGGCTTTGGTCTCTTTTATATCTCTTTCGGGCCTTGTCGCTATCTAGGTTCATCATCGTGCCTTATAACGTTAAAGAGATCAAGTTATTTCCATTTTAAAGCCAAGGTTATTTTTCAGATACAGTTTTATGTTACATTGCTACAGTCACTGGCTATGGAGTCTGTTGTACTCGTTTTGGTATCGATATAGTGTAGTCGGTAGCACGCAACCAAGTAAATGCAGTGTTCAATGCACGATCCTGCTTATATATTAGGGTGAACGGTAAAAAATGGGACACCTTGAGAATAATTGCAGATTTCTCAAGGAAGAAAAGTGACTGAACTTTCCAATTTTGATGGATATTAGAATAAATTATTCTCTTTCAGATAGCACCTATATAAGGTCATTTAAATAATTGATAATTTTTATACTTGCTAAAATGCAAAGTTAGTTACTTCGAGAAATTATGAAGTTTGAGCAGTATCGGCGCAGTGAAACATGTGAGACCACCCAAAGTACCGCTGCTGGAGTGAGTGGTGGGACAGTCACCAAACCCACGACGGCTTGGTGGCTTTAACTCTCAATGTCAGGAGATATACCCATTAACAGCTTCGAAAATAAAGATACGCGTTATTCAATTCTTTGCATGTAAACGCATGATTTCTGGGTATCATCTGATAGAGCTTTTTACGCTCTATCCATCCATATGCAGCTTACTTCAGATTTTATCTATCTTCGGAAAATATAGGGCAAAACATGATTTTTTGGTTTTTTGTTGCGCCAAAAATAGCTATTTTTCAGGTTTTTTCGAATTTTTTTTCTGAAATTGAAAAGAAATCTCATGCATTTAACATATCGTTCGAAAGAGCATGAAGAGCTCTTTCGAATGGTATGTCATTTGCTTTACGACTTTACGGTATAACAGCGCAAGATTGAGGATTGTGCAAAAAACTCTGTTCGAGTTCTTCACGGCGCCACGTGTAGGGTAGTGGAAGAGGAGCGTTAACGCGTTGTCAGAATAATAAGCGAAGGTCGCCCATGTAAGCGACGTTTAAGTTGCTGCTTACTTGCTATTGCCAGAAACAAAAAATTCCAAAATGTAATGAAAATCAAGCTGTCCCATTTTTTACCGTTCACCCTAATATATACTCCATCATTTTTACAATTTGTGAGTAGTCATGCAGATTAATTGGACAGACTGAATGCGTCAGTCTAACAACAAGCAGCCGACCTGAAGATTAGACTAAACTTGCTTGTGGCGTAATATTAACTAATGAAGATTCTTTACAGGTATTTTTCTGCTTCACTGGCGATCGCGAGGTTTTGCTCAAGCAGCGTATAACTCAACTACTCGGCTACAACATGCACAATAAATGCGTCAGCGGCCATTTGAGTATTTTAAGATGGCCCATACTTGGCACCATACTACACATGACTCTTTCTGTTACTCCCCCCGTAGCTATTTTAGGTTAAGACGAGGCATTGCGAAGAAGCTAGAAAAGAAATGTCACGTCAAACACGTCTTGTGCACCAGCAATTGCTCAAAATTCATTTAGTAGTTGAGATTACTTGTTGCAGTTCTTCACGTAATTTTCAGGCTATCACTTATCAAGCGTGCATTCCAGTTTTCTTTCTGTTTGCTGTGCTATCGTATGGGCTCGGACAGCTTGGGATACTGCATCATCCCATCGTCGAATATTCCACGTTTATCCTGGTTGGCTTTGTGCCTGCATTGAGCCCATTCTCGTCCTTTCATTGCATTCGACCTTATCGAAAATGGCTGTCTAGTAAGACAGATGAGATTTTCAAATCTATTTCTTTTTATATCGAAGCGGAAGAAATAGATGTTTTCTTACTAAGACGCTTTCACGAAAAACAGCGAGCATAAAATTTCTTAAAAATTAGCGATCATCTTAGCTCTGATAGTGGCCTGGCATGAAAGGTACAGGCAGCCTAGACTTTTCAACTCGCTGATTAAAAAGGGCAAACATGCAAAATTTGTGCATTGAGTTTGCTCGCGTCTTCCATAGCAATCTCCGAAAATTTCACACAATGTGATTTCATGCACTAAAGACTTCGTTTTTGCTCTTTAATCAATCTTTGCATATCATGCGTAAGGTTGAGAACCTCGGGTAGCATAAAAACTCATTTTCATTACTTCAAAAGCCGCAGCATGCCACAAGCAATTAGAGTTGCATCGTGTGGGAGGATATGATTGCTCGCACTCGTCCTGAGTACCTTCATAATTAATCAGATTGCTTTTTGATCGTTGACATGTTTTCTTTAGAATAAGGTCACCAGTGGAAAATGAAGTTGTGAAGGTAAACAGGTGCAGAAAAAAATGGCTTTTCGATTTTCTAGCTTGGAAACCAAAAAAATATATGTACTCGAATCGGAGAATTAAGGCAAAAATATTATTAAGTTGTCCGGAAATTAATGCAGGTTTTGAATTCCAACCGCAATAAGTTATACACTTCTCATTTCTGAATAGATTGCAAAGCACCATTCGATAGAGCAAAGCAAGCTCTACAAGATGGCCATCTTGCTTTAGCAACAGCTCTGATCCACCACGAGTTTCGAGCCAACAACTAAGAAGATTCAACTACCCGAAAAAGTAAGGAAAATCGTAACTCTGTTCATAAAAATCCTACAAAAATTCTAACTTGCTCACGTAAACACAATCCACGTAAGGCATCTATATACGCGGTTGCCGTATTTTTTTCTATGTTAGAAATCAAGAAAACGGAAATTTTCGTACATATGCCAAAGTGGTGCTGTGCCATTCCTACATAAGTAGTTGTATACTACAAAGCCTTAGAAGCGCAAACGTAAATTTCCAGCTCTCTACAAGCCTTGGTTCTCGAGAAATTTGAATTTTAGCTTGGACCACATGACTATGAAAAAATGTATTCGATATTTCTCGAGAACTAAAGCTTGTAAAGAGCTGGAAATTTACGTTTGTACTTCTAAAGGCTTGTAGTATACAACTACTTATGTGGGAACGGCACAGCACCACTTTGGCAAATGCACGAAAATTTCCGTTTTCTTGATTTCGAACACAGAAAAAAAATACGGCAACCGCGCATATAGATGCCTTATGTGGATTGTTTTACATGAGCAAGTCAGAATCTTTATATTAGGTTGTTACGTAAGTCTTGTTACACTTAACTTCTAACGGCGATAAGTCATAAACCTCATAGTCTTCGCAGGACTCTAAGGTACCATTCGATAGAGCCAAGCAAGCTCTACAAGATGGTCTGCAAAAGTTCGCACCAGCTCCGACCCACCGTAAGTTTGCACCCAAAATCTGAGTCGTACTGAAATTCGAAAAAGCGCGAAAAATTCATATCTTTCTTCAGAAAAATCCTACAAATCTCCAACTTGTTCACAAAAATTGCCCACTATATCAGACACTTATATGTACCGTTGCTGTATTTTTTCCTTATCTAGAAATCGAGAAAAAGAATTTTATTAGTTTTTACAAAAACGAAGCTATGCTGTTTCTATTCATGTAGCTGTATACTACAAACTTTTAGAAGTATGACTGTAAATTTTTAGCTTTCCAGAAGCCCTAGTTTTCGAGAAATGCCAAATTTAGCTTTTGTCACTTGGGTGTTCAATGCCAAATTAAGTAAATTTCGAAAACTAAGGCTTCCAGAGAGCTGAAAATTTACGGTTATATTTCTAAAGGCTTGTAGTATACAGCTACGTAAATAGAAACAGCATAGCTTCGTTTTTGTAAAAACTAAAAAAAATTATTTTTCTCGATTTCTAGATAAGGAAAAAATACAGCAACGGTACATATAAGTGTCTGATATAGTGGGCAATTTTTGTGAACAAGTTGGAGATTTGTAGGATTTTTCTGAAGAAAGATATGAATTTTTCGAGATTTTTTGAATTTCAGTACGACTCAGATTTTGGGCGCAAACTTACGGTGGGTCGGAGCTGGTGCGAACTTTTGCAGACCATCTTGTAGAGCTTGCTTGGCTCTATCGAATGGTACCTTGGAGTCCTGCGAAGACTATGAGGTTTATGACTTATCGCCGTTAGAAGTTAAGTGTAACAAGACTTATGTAACAACCTAATAGTATTTTTATGAACAGAGTTACGATTTTTCCGAATTTTTTGGGTAGTTGAATCTTTTTAGTTTTTGGCTCGAAACTCGTGGTGGTTTAGAGCTGTTGCTAAAGCAAGATAGCCGTCTTGTAGAGCTTGCTTTGCTCTATCGAACAGTACTTTGCAACCTATTTAGAAATGAGAAGTGTATGACTTATTGCGGTTGAAATTCAAAACCTGCATTAATTTCCGGACAACCTAATAGGTTGTAAAAGCTTTTATAAGCATCTACGCTTCATTAATGGTACGATTGTTGTGTAAAGGGCTCGAAAAATGCGCATGAACGTATTACACAACCCAAACCTGTGCATAAACATCCTCCTCTGCTTTGTAAACAATTTGCTATACAACCAAATGTTCGCTGAGATGTTCATTCAGCAGCGCGCAAAAAATAGGTGATGCTAAATTCAAGCAAAGAGAATGTTTAAAACACTAGATTTGGACTACCCGTACATATTCCCTGCACCACACCATGAAAAAGCATACTATACCTTCCAGGACGGACATGGGCTCAATTCTAATATAATATCGTATACTGAAAGGGGAAGGGTCACACCTTTAGAAAGTGACCCATGAACTTTCATAGTCAAAAGGCACTCACTGTGTCCTGTCTTAGTCCAACTAGAGCAATCACAAATCCTAGGATTGTCGTCGAGATTTGTTCCTGATGCTAGATCAAAACTTTTGTCACGGCAGTCGATCAAGCATTTACATCCAAACACAATTACACTAGTTCCGAAAACTATCACTTACATATGAACGAAGAGCAACAAATATAATGGCGTCCTTATTCGCAAAATAGCATTCTTTTGTAACCACACTGATTTTGCCATTTTTGTAAAGATTGTCATCTGTAGACTACGTTCTTATATCAGTCTTGTGGGACGAAATTTATAAATGGATTTCGGTTTATACATGGGCAAACTCTTACGGATAATTCTCATCATTGTAACTAGTGTTACTCATGTGAGCATTTCTTACACAAAATAAAGACTGACTTTGAGTTCGTGCAACCAATGTCCTATAAGCTTGGGAGAAAGCCCGTTCATAAGCTGACGATTTCTTTCTACGGGAATCCCTGTACCTCAAAAGTCATAAA